TTGAGAGGCACATGCAGAAAGCCCTTCTTTGGCTTTCCAGGAAAGGTCAGTAGGAAAGACTTTATCTCCCTTATGCATGGTGGAGACTATTTCCCAGTTTCCCTCAAACCTTACCATTCCTACAGAGGCTAGCAAATGAGCTCTGTCATGCTCAGCTCTAAGGACAGCATTAGGGTTTCCTCTCTCCAGGACTCAGCCACTGAAGTCAGCATGACCGAGTCTACAGATGAGTCTGCATCCTTCTCCAAACATGTTGCTTAGGACATCACCATTAAAGGATGAAGGGGAGGAGCTCCTAGGGCAAAAAGTAGCCACAGATAAGTGGAATAGCCAAGGAAGTTGAGGAATGCTGTCGTTACCATCGAAAATGAACATGAAGGAGCTACTGTATCCAAGATGTGTCCTTACTAGTCTTCAGGCCTAAAGGAGTAGAGAGGCGGGAGGAATGTCAGTCATTTTGGTCCCAATGCAGTCTCTTTACCCGGCTTAGCACCCAAATTCGGGGCCTAGAGGAGCAACTTTTACCCCTTACAGCTGGCCTACAAAAAGCAAGTCCTAGGAGATAAATTTCTGTTTTGTTTATGTATCTGTCTAATAAACTTTACATTCTTCTTGTATATAAATCTCTGAACTTGGAGATCAGAGAGGACTGACAGTCTTGTCCTGTCTGCCAGAGTCAAACAAAAGCTCACAGCCCTGTAACAAGTTAAAGCCTGATTACCTTCTAAGAGGATCCCAGAATAGTCTTTGATTCAGAGGAGGTACTGTCTGCATTGGCAATAGCTCCTTGACAACCAGAGCTGTCGGCTCTTTGTGTTAAAGGAAAGTCTCAGTGGATGGTCACAGGAAGCTCCTATCCACGCTCTTCAAAGAAATGTTTGGGGTTGGGAGGAGGCATCTGAAAGAGCGGTTAGAACTATTAGAATAAATTTAAAAAGAACAAGGCAATGCCACTTCAGTGACTATTTCTCTAATGCCTGTGACTAGACCCCCAAAACCTAAGGGAAGAAGGATTATTTCCATTCATGGCCTGAAGGTAAAGTTCATCCCTTCAGGGGAGGCCAGATCTTAGCAGGGCTTTCAGCTACCACGATGGGCACATGAGACCGCTTGTGATAGGGCAGAAAACACGCTTTCTGGTCAAGAGAAAAGAATCTCGGGCCTGGGTAGATTCTAGTTGGGCAGGCCATCGAGCAGGCAAAGGATCACCCCTATGAAAGCAAAAGAATTAATCCTATAATGAAACACTGTGTTTTTCTGTTGTGGGTATCCACCAGGGAAGACTATTTGTACTCAGATTTAAGCCAATAGAAAGTCATTATTAGCCAGCCTGTGACTACCCTGGTTCAGGATCCCAGTGTAGCCCTGAGCCTTTCTCAGGGTGAGCTTTTAAGCACAAAAACCATATTCTGTGTGGACTCACCACAGTTAGGAAGAACAGTTAGCCAAAAGCAGAACTACTGAAGCCAAAAGCAAAGTTGGAACATTTAAAGACTTTCCTGAAACTGTGGATATTGATGGATTGGGTCTTTGTTTCTGTTTTGGCAGATGATGCTGTCCACATGCTGAATTTTATGTCCTGAATGGTACTTCCATCATGGAGCTGGTTGTGCTGAGGTCTGGGGGCCTGTTACATTTGCTCCCCAGAATCCCCATCTTACTGCAGTAGCTTACAGGGGCCACAGCCATGCAGCTCTGTAAGTCTGTCCATTTTACCGAATTATTCACAAAAGCGTAACCTCTTCTGCTTTTCATCTTTCATCTTCTATCTAAACATGTTTCCTCCAATACTTCGGGCTTGCCCAGCATTTTTGCTTCTGTGTTCTTTCTCTAAAACCCCGTTTCCCGCTCATCTGCCATGTATGTGTCTGACATACATGCCCACTTAAAGGGCATAACTTTTATTTTCCCTTTCTTTCCTCCATCCTCATCTAGGAAGTTACTGAGATTTACAGCATGCTTGTAAGCTTGTAAGCTCTCAAGAGCATCTTCTTTTAAATTCTAATAAAATCATCCTTGAGTTTCAGTTAGAGTCCATTCTTAAATTCTTTTTAAAAATAACTCATTTTATTTTGTGTGCATTGGTGTTTTGTCTGCATGTCTGTCTGTGTGAGGGTGTCAGATCTTGGAGTTAGATGCCACGTGGGTGCTGGGAATTGAAGCCAGATCCTCTGGAAGAGCAGCCAGTGCTCTTAACCGCTGAGCCAAGCTATTGAACATATGACTTATATATTAATCTAGTCTATGTGACAGAGCTTGCCACATTACCAGATGAAGATGTCCAGACCTCGTGTCCTTTAAACCTTTCCACTCTGTAACGAGATTGTCACCCTTTGACTGCAGGAACTTTTGCTTCCATCTCTAGAGTACCCTGAATACAAATTTTGAATAGTAATTAATGGATGAGCAATAAACAAGGAAAGAAAGTCATAGACAGGAAGTCCAAAGGATTCCAGGAACCCAATCCTACTTTAATTTCAGAAAGAATTCTGTGTGGGGATCCAAAGAAAAACCAAAGGCGCTCTCACAGCTTTTCAAAACATGTTCAGACTAAAAGCCCAAACAGTCCTGAGTGTGTGGGAAGTAAGCACTGTGGGGAATAGGCTATCGGATCACCTCCAACAACAGTTGTGGGTTTGTTGACATCAGACTGACCTGGTCAGGCCGTCATGGAGCCTGTATGACCCTGTCACAGGGAACTCTGTGAAGTGAGAAGGACAGATGGCAATAATTAGGAGACCATGTGATGGGTGAATCCTGAGGTCCTCGTTTTTGGCACCCTCTAGATACTATCGGCTACAACCTCAAATACATATGCAGACAAAGGAATGGTGAGCAATCCCGGGTCCTTCCCTGGGGTCATGACATCAACATATTGCTATCCATAAATAATAAGGATCTCTGATTTTAATCTTATGAACTGACCACATTGTTTCCTGTTTGTGAAGAAGCTGAACACTGGATAAGGATCAGAACACTGAATGCCAGCAACAGTAAGTCTCATGTTTTGACAGATTACTGATGAAGGAGGGTGACAGCCATTTTTACTGTGACAAATAAAAATTTATCACAGCAAAAAGCCTGGGAGATGCCAGGCGGTCGTGGCGCACGCCTTTAATCCCAGCACTCGGGAGGCAGAGGCAGGTGGATCTCTATGAGTTCGAGGCCAGCCTGGGCTACAGAGTGAGTTCCAGGACAGGCTCCAAAGCTACACAGAGAAACCCAGTCTCGAAAAACAAAACAAAACAAAACAAGAAAGCCTGAGAGACAATCCTAAACGGTAATGGGTTTGTGGACAAACTGGAGGTGAAGAGAAATCAGACTTTTGTAACTTTATGTGACCTTTGAATTGTTCCTTCAGATCTTGTTTTAGTCATAAAATTATACTCATTGCTCTGCTGGGAAAACAGACGTGTCTTCAGATAACAGTAGCTTATGTTTGTTTTATACCATTTGCCAATAATAGTGCGAGGTTTCCGCAAAATTAACTCCAACGTTCATCACAAGCCAGTGAGACAAGTCCCATTATCTCCACTTCTTTTTTGAGTCATATTTAAGAAAATAAGTCAAACTCAGCCAGCCCAACTGAGGTCAACTCAGAAATTTCCTCTGCTAGGATTTTCCTTGCTCTGCTGCTGCTTCTAGGTTTCTTCGGGAACACCTGCACACTCAGTATCTCTCCATTCCAGCACCACTTAGAGCATCTAATCTCTCCCTGTGAGCTCAGGGAGGGAGGGTGGGGGCAAAAATCCGTCCTTTTATTGGTTACCCTATATCACATGACCAAAATACCTACAAGAGCAACTTAAAGAAGGAACGGTTTATCGAGTTCCTGATTCTAGAGGGTTCAGGCTGTTGGGCCAGGAGGCAGCTCACATTACCATGGCAGACAAATAGTGTGGGGCCCAGGACAAGACAGGAAGGAGAGAGGGGTACTCACAAGGACCCACCTCAAGTGACCCACTTCCTCCAGCTCAGCCCCTTTCGTTTCCACAACCTCCCACCAAAAATATTGCCACCATCTGAAGACCAGGCATTTAGCCCACAAGCCCATAAAGAGCAAAGCACAAATTGTCCAGTTCAAAGGATCCCAGGAGATAAAGTGTCTCACAAGCACACAAGGCATGTCTGTGAAACATTTGGATTCATGAAGAAAGATAACACTCCACCACACTTAGAGTAATTAATTTTATGTGCCAACTTGAGGGGCCTAGGAGACGACCAAACAGCCGCTAAGTCATTATTTCTGGGTGTGTGTATACAAGGTTGTTTTCAGAAATGACTGACACTTTAATCAGTAGACTTGCGTGAAAAAGATCCAGCCACCAGTGTGAGCAGACAATATCCACCCCCCTGAGGATGTAAAGAGGATGAAAACGCAGAGGAAGGGGCACTGGTCACTAGTCTGATCGCTGCAACAGAAACACCTGACGAGAAGTCACTCAGGAGAAGGACTTACCTCAGCTCGTGGTGTCATGTGGGAGAGGCCTGCTGCCTGCTCCTGCAGCACAGCTTGTTCACGTCTCTGTGGACCAGGAAGCCTGACAGACCCACTTCCTCCAGTGAGGCCCCTCCTCCTCAGGTTCTACAACCTCCCAAAGCAGTGCGTTAAGCCGAGGACCACGTGCTACATGTGTACGCTGTGAGGACGTCACACATTTAAACGCAAAGGGTGGGCTTCCTTTTTACTTGAGTGGGACATTTGCTTTCTCCCCTGCTCAGACATCAGCCCTCCTTGTTCTCTGGCCTTTGGAGGTGGAGCTGGTTTTAAAGTACTGCTCCCCAGTTCAGGGGCCTCTAGGGATGTGCTAGAGCTGCCTGACTGACTTGTCCTATCCACAAGCTTAAGGTAGCACATCAGGACTTCTCATCCTGCATCATTATTTGAGCCAATCTCTCTCAATCAACCCCTTCATATATACTCTATGATTGTCTTAGTTAGGGTTTCTATTGCTGTGAAGAGACACCATGACCACGGCCACTCTTATAAAGGGAAACATTTAATTGGAGCTGGCTTACAGTTTCAGAGGTTTAGTCCATTATCATCATGGCAGGAAGCATGGCGGCATGCAGACAGGCATGGTGCTGGAGAGGGAGCTGAGAGTTCTACATCTGAATCCACAGGCAGCAGGAAGGAAGACTGACACACACTTCCTCCAACAAGGCCACACCTCCTGATAGTGCCACTCCCTATGGGCCTATGCGGGCCATTTTTATTCAAACCACCACAATGATGACATATATGCATATATACACGCACAATACACAAGTACATGCTGTAGTTCTGCTTCTCTGGAGACTAATATACAATGATTCTTTCTATACTGCCAGGGCAAGGTTATTACTGCTTCGTGTTGGGAATCAGAGGAGCAGGGAAAATTGGGCATCCTTCTCAAAATGCTATATACCCTCCAGTGACACTGATTCTTTGACTTTGAAGGGACTCAGATTTCTTTGTGCTGTGTGAGAGACAGCTGTGCCTGAAACATGCCACATGTGAAGTGTTCTTTAGGTCTCTTGCAATGGCACTAGATGGATATGATATGAACAAGGGGTGTGTACAAGCTCCCACCGCCAAAGTCAGGCCTCTCCCACCATAACACACCGCCAGGCCCCTCCAGCCTTGGCACACTGTTGGACCTCTCCCACCAGGGCCAGATGAGCTGAAGTCCTTGCCCCGGTGGCTTCTTGTCGGGCATTTTGTCGTTATGAAAAAGTAACGCATGCTCCTTCTTTGTTCTCATTCTGTTCAGCTGCTCAGGGGTCTGGATGAAGCCTGTCCACAGTGGTAAGTGGGTCTTAGTTGCTCAGCCTGCTGGGTAAAGATGGTGCCTGAAAGGACACGTACAAAGAGCAGTCTTAATAATGACTGTCATGCTGTGTCAGCAGCAGTACTAGCTACAGGCATGGTCTTGCCTTTTTCCACTTACCAAGATGTGCTACACTTAAGCAGCAAGAACCCCATATGGGGTTGTGGAACTGAATGTTGGAGTCACAAAATGTTTGACAACAGTGAAAGATTTCTGAGCATGTAAAGACTAAAAATCCATTCAGAATGAAGCCTGTGATGAAGTCTGAGCTGTCTGCCTTGTGTTGCATTCCACAACTTCACCACAGCCTTGGTTCTGAACACACAATATGGACACTTGGCTCTGTGCATGCCTTCATGCATGCCATACCAACCAGAACCTCTCAGGCTCAGATTCAAGACTATTATCTGCTATAAATTGCAGTGTTTTACTGTACATGCAAAGTTTTCTGCTCTTATAAAAACATATATACATTCTCAGTCTGTATCAAATAGTAGTTTTGGATTGTATTGGGTTAGAATGTTTGAAAACATGTACATTGATTTATTTTGTGTTGGGGGTGCACCATGGTACATATGTGGAGGTCAGAGGACAACACACAGGATTTGGTTCTCTCCTTCTACCATTGTGGGTCCACAAGATCCAACTCAGGCCATCAGATTGGTGGCATCTTACTGAATACTGCAATTATAAAATTGCTTGGAGAACCAGACATGGTGGCCTACTCCAGAAATCCTAGTACTCTAGGGAACAGAGGCAGGAGAAATAGTGTGAGTTCAAGGCCAGCCTGGTGACGATCATGCACCAAGCCAGGCAGGGCTACAATGAGAAACACTGTCTCAAAGAACAAAAGAAAAATAGATGAGTAAAAGTCAATTGTTGTTTGAGTTGATGACTTGTTCATTTTTTTAAATTGTTAAATGAATTTGTCTGGGATTAGGACAGAATTTCCAATGATTTCTGAAATGGCCTTATGCATACTTTTTCCAATTTCTATCATATTTGTGTGAAGCAGAATTTTTGGCATTGATGATCATAAATCAAAATATTGATGAACTGTAATTCTGCTGTATTAAATATTAGGCCAAGATTTAATTCTTTACATAAAAATAAATAGTATTCCATCTTATTAATATGCAATTTTCTTTTGTCTTTAATAAATCATAAATTTTATAAATATATGTACCAAAGATTATTTTAAATAAAGTACTTTATTGTAGCTGGAGTTTTTTCCAGTCCTGCCCAGGCCTGTGGTCAGGACAAATCTCTCCCACCTGCCAGTCCTGAAGCCACTTGGACCCAAATAAACTCACAGAGACTTATATTAATTAAACTGTATGGCCTAATGGCTCAGGCTTCTTGTTAGCTAGATCTTACATCTTAAATTAACCCATTTCTATTAATCTATAAGTTGCCACGTGGCTTGTGACTTACCGGTACTTCACATCTTGCTTCTCCTGGCAGCATCTCCAAACTAAGCCTTCCTGTTCCCAGCTTTATTCTCCTCTCTCTTTGTCCTGCCTACACTTCCTGCCTGGCTACTGGCCAATCAGCGTTTTATTTATCAATCAATCAGAGCAACACATTCACAGCATACAGAAAGACATCCCCAGCACTTTATGATTTTTTTACAAGTAAATTTTTGATTTGTATAATTATTTTATGTGTCTATATATCAGAATAACATGAAAATTTCTCAGGCATAAAGGGGTTATGGGTGGAAGAAATTTAAGTCTGGGCTCCAGGATTTGTAAAACCCAATGCAAAGGGAAAATATGGATCCCTTTTCAAAAATTATTAGGAATTTCAAGTGAGTGATGACAAAGCATCAAAGCCAGTGTGAGTATGTGCTTGCTAAGCCAGGGCCTGTCTAGTCATCTTGGGCATCAGCACAGAGACTCAGTCATGCAGGTGGTCCTTGTGGAGCCCATAGTAGTATATTTGTTATACATTAGTATCATTACTTATGTGATTTCGTCCTCACAGCAGTTACATAAGGAAGACATTTGCACAAACAAAACATTTTAGTGTCAAATGAAAAGAAGTTCCATCGTAGGGGGATGGTGATAACAGACTGAGCAGAGCAGAAGCGGGAAGGACGAAGTAGGGGAAGCCAAGCCTCGAACCATGCCCAAATGAAGGCGCGGGTACATCTCTCTTTCATCTGATTTGGAAAGGACGATGGAAGGAAGGACTCAGATGCAGTAGATGGTTTCAGATGGCTTACCCCAGGGGAACAACGATCTTTTCATTGAGAATAATAAATACTATTTGCGGTACCTTCTTCTTCTGTAGCTGTTAGTCTGGAAGCAAGACCACTGACAAGTGACAGCTGTTCTCTCTGATGCCAGTGCCAAACTAGTCTCTTTCCACAAGACTTTCAGGACCTGAGTAACCCTCAGCATCTGGCAGCACTCTGTCCGCCATAGCATGGCCTGGGTGTGAGAAAGAGAGAAATTCAAGGAGACAGACTAATCCACTCTGCCTGCTGTCCTACAGCAGCAGCTTCTCGGGTTCACAGTCCAGGGGAACCACAGCAAGTTGGATCAGGCCTGGGGAGAGGGCAAACAGTAAGCATCAGCAGGATTGGGGAGAGGGTAAACAGTAGGCGTCAGCAGGATTGGGGAGAGTACCCCTCCCTCCAGCAATGCACTTCTAAGGTCATTTTCTTTTTCATGTGTGTGGGTGTTCTGCCTGCATGTGTGTCTGTGCACCACATGTGTCTGGTGCCTGTGGAGGACAGAGGGGGTGGTGGATCCTTTAGAATTGAAGTTACAGGCTGCTGTGAGCCACCACATGGATGCTAGGAACTGAACCTTGGTCCTCTGCATGAGCAGCAAGTGCTCTTACCACTGAGCCATCTCTCCATGTGTTGCTCTGATTGGTTGATAAATGAAATGCTGATTGGCCAGTAGCCAGGCAGGAAGTACAGGCAGGATAAGCAGACAAGGAGAATTCTGGGAAGAGAAAGGCTGAGTGAGGAGACGCCAGTCCACTGTCCAGGGAGCAGCATGTAATGGCACACAGGTAAAGCCACAGAACACGTGGTGACATGTAGATTAACAGAAATGGGCTGAGTTTAAATATAAGAGCTAGTCAGTGGTAGGCCTGAGCTAATGGCCGAGCAGTTTTAATTAATATAAGCTTCTGTATGTTCATTTGGGTCTGAGCAGCTATATGACCACGAGGCCACGGGAGCCAGGTGGGCACAGGAAAACTTCCAGCTACATTTAGGTGCTTGTGGGGAAATATTCACAATGAGCCTCTGTGACATTTATGTTGATAATTACAAACTCATAACATCTAATTAAAAACTATCATTAATAAAAAGATACATGCTGTTACCCAGGACCTCTAAACACAGCCATTGGCCTGAGTGAAAATCCAACAGTAACAAGATGGAGAGACTCAACCATCAAGGGCAGTGCTACTCGACAGTCCCGGGGAGGAGAGATCAGCTGCTCTGTAATAACAAAGAGCCATTGCCGGGCCAGCAAGACAGATCAGTGGGTAAAGGCGGTGCCTCCCCCTGCCCCACCCATCACCTGAACTCCATCCTGGGAGCCCACATGGTAAAAGGAGAAAACATCCTGCTAATTGTCCTCTGAACGCCACGTGTGCACCATGGCACGCTTGTGCACACAAACATACACACGATAAGCAAATATAATTTTTAAATTTTGCAAAGCATTAGTATGAACTTCTAAGGTAAAAACCTACTAGCCATGGAAGAGTATCAAAGATTAAAACTCCCACTTCCCTGCTTTCTCATTTGTACTTAGACAAGGTACGTCACCTCCTCAAGCCTAAGCTTCCCAACAGTAAAACTGAGATTATAATGTAAGTACTATCACATAAGAGCAGAGTGAGCACTCAGTATAAAATGGCATAAAACCTAAGTATGTAGCATGATCCATATTGTGACAAATTTCAAGGTACCATTTCAATGTACCAATAATAGCTCAAAAGCCAGAATTTCTCTCCTTGTTATCATAATCTTGTTACCTAAAATCCAGGAAAGCACCTATTCTGGCTAGTTTTATGACAACTTGACACAAGCTGGAGTCATTGGAGAGGAAGAAGCCCCAACTGAAAAAAAAAAAATGCCTCCATAAGATCAGGCTCTGGGCTGTAGGGCATTGTCTTAATCAGTGATTGATGTAGGAGGGCCTAGTCTACTGTGGGTGGGGTCACTTCTGGGCTGGTGGTCCTGTGTTCTACAAGAAAGCAGGCTGAGCAAACCATAAAAAAGCAAGCTAGTAAGCAATACCCCTCAATGGCCTCTGCATAAGTTCCTGCCTCCAGGTTCCTGCTCTGCTTGAGTTCCTGTCCTGACTTCCTTGGATGATGAACAGTAATGTGAAAGTGTAAGCTATACAAACTCTTTCCTCCCCCAAGTTGCTCTCTGGTCATGATGTTTCATCACAGCAATAGTAACCCTAACTAGGACAACATCTGTCAGTAGTAGGCGCTTTATAAATATCTGTGGAAAAAACAAGTTACTGAGCTTCAGTGAGCATGGAGCAAGAGTGAATTTCTCATCTCCTTTCCAAAAGCATACTTCTGAACTAGCTTTCTATGGTTTCCAAGCACTGTGCCCTGCCGAGATTATTTCAGATAAAGCAGGGACTTTGTTTAAAATAAAAATGCTTGACTCCTTAATCTCCAACCCGACTGTAACATGATGCTAGTTCAAGAACCTTTAGGAAGTGCCTGGGGCTGGACACACAGCCTGAGGTTTTCCAGACTCCCCCATTCCAGAGAAAATAAGTCAGTAAAGAAGCCGAGGAAGTAATTAGTTTTCCAAGGAACACAGACCTGGGTCAGGAAATACTGGCAGAAGCAGTGAATGGTCCTTGGTAGCAGGAAGATTTTGCTTTAGTTGTTAGGTTTGGGGAGAGTTAAACACACGAATAAATACTTCACACTTATGCTCCTATGTGTGTACATGCTCACAGATCCTACTGGCCATATGTGATTATAGCTCTATCGCTCATTACTCTGAACTCTAAACATGTAATAGAACTTCCTGCCTTACAGGCTGGGTGAGGTTCAGTAGTAATTCTTCTCAGCCTCAGCAGAGAAGGAACTATGAGTGTCTCTAAACTTCAAGAATCCCAGTGAAACAAACCCATCCAACATGGCTAACTTCCGCTTTGACGTTGCCCTGCCCATGAGGTGCCACTGGGTCAGGTACCAGAGCCAGAAGCGTGACTCCAAGGAAGCTGCCAATGATCCAAAAGGCAGAAAGAAAGAATTTCATGATGCGTGCACACTGTGAGGACAGCGTAAGGACTGACCCACGCTGGTTTCCTCCACGTGGTAAATACTGCCTGGCATTGGTTGGGTGTCCCTGCCCTGCCCTGTCCTCAGGGAGCCTTGACGGTCACCGGGCACCGATTCCATTTTCAGTAGTTCTCTCCCAGAGCCTGCAACCTTCCTTCACTTTTCCTTCCTTCTCTTCTGCCTTTCTTTTCTTTGGTAACAAATTAAACTGTTTTGCATGAATCATGTGTTCAGGAAATGCGAACTGGGAGGATTAGAATTTGAATGTTAAGAAAGAAGCCTCACTTAGCCAGGCTGAGGGGCAGCTGGACACAGCTGAGTGGGCCGAGCTCAGGGAGGCACTGGGGGCTCCAGCTGGTCAGACTCTCGGAGCTCCTGAGTGGGAGATCTCACAGAGAAGGTCAGGGCCTCCATTTAACCACGTCAGAGTAACAATCTTTCCAGACTGTTCTCAGGAAAATTTGTTTTTGTTTTTTTTGTTTCATAAACACACTGGATATATTTTATATTAGATTTGCAAAGCTTATTGTTTTAACGAATTCCAGAAAGTAACATGTCATCGGGAAAAAAAAAAAGCAGACTATATAGTAAATGTGAATATGGGTACCTTCTGGCTTGCTTTAAGATATTCATATTCAGAATGTCAAAATGGACCCTCAGAGTGCAACTGTGCCCCCTTTACCACTGGTTTTGTTCTGTCTCCAGTCCACAGAATGGAAAGCACATAGTAGGCCTTTCCCCCTGTGATGTCGACCAGGAACTTGTGCCTCCCTTGGAGCAGACAAACTTGTACTTTCAGATATAGTAAGAAAGCAAGCTTCCTCTCCTTTTTAAAGATTTGTTTTTATTATTTTTACTCGTGTGTGTGTGTGTGTGTGTGTGTGTGTGTGTGTGTGTGTGTGTGTGTGAATGTATGCCACTTGTGTGTTCACTTACGGAAGCTAGAAGAGGGCATCAAATCTGCTGGGGCTGGAGTTTTAGTGAACACAAGGCACCTGAGTTAGGTGCTGGGAACAGAACTCGGGTCCTCTGGAAGAGCAGCAAGTGCTCAGAACCCTGAGCCATCTCTCCAGCTCACACCAGATTTTTCTGTGTATCAAGCACTCAGGAAGAAGCCTGTCATGCTGACCCAGAAAGGAGAGGCACACAAGGGTCTGTACTTTTCATGCCAGTGTATGTTTTCGTTGTCTCAGGATTGGTCCAGCCAACAGTTTTATGGCCTCTGAAAGGCTGAGAGTGCTGAGCAAAACAGCGGGCATGAGTCCTAAGAAAGGAAGGTATAGACAGCAAACTCCAGAATTCAGACTCCAAATTGAAATCCACGTGCAGACACTTCCATGTGCAGACACTTCCTGGATGTGTGATGTTATGTTTGCATATTCCTGGAATCTTCATATCCACTGGGGAAGAACTTAAAAATACAGAGCAATGATTTTCAAAACGCAATTAGCGACTACACCTTAGGGAGTTATGACATCCGTTAATTGAGTTATAACCAACCTCACAACAAAATGAGAGCATACAATAGGAAGTATCCAGAGACATCACACATGGTGAAAAGAGAGAACTAAGTCCTGAAAGTTGTCCTCTGACTTCCATATGTGTGCCATGGCACACAAATGCCACCATCCAACACACACACACACACAAAAACAAATGAATTAAAATATAAGTGTAAAATGCTTTTCAAGAATGCACATACATGCATATATATGCTTTTCATGTAGTATTTGGTTATTGGTAGTTTCTGAGGAATTAACTTATAACACATCTTTGCCCAGTAAAATGATATTCTACAACAATTTAGAAGCAGATCTCCATAATCAGTCCCCTTGGTGTCTAAAAACAGTCCCATCTCATTGTATGTCTTCACCAAATTGGGGAGGGAGTAATATTTTCAAAAACTAACATATACCATAACAAAAGCTGGTGGTAAGACCCACTCCACCCTGTCTATAGCCCAGACTGCAGATGAGCATCTTTTCCAACCTGTGAGGTAGGTACTAGCATGTCTTTGTACTCGTGAGGAAACTGACACTGTGTGGGGAAGGCCCAAAGTCGTTCTGCTAGTGTGCAAAGAGCCTGGACTGGAAGGCACAGTCACCACAAAGACCAGGCCTTTGCTGTCTGTCCACCATGAAAGACAGTTAGTTCACTTTCCTCCATATCCCAAAGCAATGCATCATTCACCTTCACTCCAAGAGGAGGGTGCCTTCACCCACCAGTGTGTCACAGGAGTACTGGAGGTCAGACCTCCACCTGTCCTCTTCAGCAGTGCTGGGACCTTGTGTTCTTTGTTGGAGATGTCATGTGTCTCATTGACTATCTCACTTTCCAGTGAGTGAAACAGGAAGTGTAGTGTCCATTCCCCCAACAGAGATATCATGAGATTTAAAGAAATGTAGAGGCCAGAGGTCTTGCAAACACGTACGATGTCCCCCCCCCCACCTCACCCAAGTGTTTCTTGATGTACTTCCTCCCAGGGGCATCAAATCAGTCACACTTCTCTCTCAGCTGGCAAAGGCTGGAGTGAGCTGTCATCTCTAGACAAAAGCCAGGCCAGGCTGTGTACAGAATGGAAAGGTCTGTTTGCTGGGGGGAAAGTCTTAGGAAAAGTAGTCTTTTTTAAAACTTTCTTTTCGTTTATTCTTTGTGTCTTTCACATCATGCCTCCCAATCCCACCCATCCCCCCCCAAATAAAACAAAATAAAATTTAAGAGAAAAGGTGGGGTGGGGGGAGAAAGGGAAATCTCATAATGAGAGCTGCAGTGTGTTACAGCGATTCACGCAGTAAACCCCTGAGGAAACATATTCTTATCAGTGGCATGTCAGGAGATGAAAAAATCCTGATTATCTTAAAATACCAGGAAAAAACCCAGAATTCTAAAAGAGCTCAGAATAGAGCACTATCCTTAGGAAATTACCAAATAAGGCTGGTCCTGTGCTGCTTCTGAGTTCAAGATGAAAAGAAAGATTTGAACAGCACGGCTGAGTTCAGCATCTCACTAAGAAAGATATTAATTTCATTTCCACAAACTCCATCTGTACCTTTCTTAGTCTTAGATACATTAGCCCTCAAATTTATTCACCCCTCATTCTGTCAAAAACAAGGTAAACACTGTCAATATACTGCCTCTAGGAGATGTTTTACCTTTTAGCCAGAAACAGCGTGACAAATCTGCACGTCACCCTAAACCCAGTGACTTCCTCAATTTACCCCTTTATGGAAGCTGGCTTGCACTGATCGCCCTTCTCCATGACGGCTACGCGAGAAATGGGGCTGGCATGAGCAGCAGGAGGCAGGGGTGAAGTCCTAGCCACACGGGTAGGAGAGCATAAAATATTTGCTTTTCCTGGATCAAAGACGAGTTAGAAGATGGAGGGAAACTGCAGTAAAGTAAGGAGATCGAGTTCTAGAAACCTTTTCTTCTTCCATTAACTGCCTCAAAGGTGACGTAACTTCAGAAACATCCAGAAAAGTGGGGTTGATAGTTCTCCTTACTGAGGTACAGTGTTGAGGAGGCTGTCAGTCCAAAAGGAAAGAGGAGAGAGAGAGAGATAGAGAGAGAGAGAGAGAGAGAGAGAGAGAGAGAGACAGAGAGAGAGAGAGACAGAGAGAGACAGAGAGAGAGAGACAGAGACAGAGACAGAGACACAGAGAGAGAAAGAGACAGAGACAGAGAGACAGAGAGAGACTCAACACAGTGTAACAATAGCAGGGTTGGCCTAAGCATCAGTGGCTGACATGACCAAGAATAAAAGTTTAAAAAAAAGTATTTTAATGATCCTATCAGGTTGAATTTACTCTTGGGCAAACCATGAAAACAGTAACAGCATTCAAAATTTCTTAACCTACAAAACAGCAAAATTTTGTAGGTACCAAAAAGAAAAGCAAAATATAGCCAATGTATAAGGGTGAAAGGTTTCCTTTAGCTCAGAGACTTAGCGACTCTGTTCTATGATGGCCTCGCTTTGGCCCAGTAGTGACACAGTGCGTCAAAACAGGACTCTGCAATGGGACAAGGCAGTTGTATCACTAGCCAGGAAGCAAAGAGAAAGGGAAGAGGGGACCAGGATCCTCTTCAAGGGCCTCCAGTGAGCTAAGACCCCTTGACTAGGCCCACTTCCTGAAGGTTCCACCAGCCACCACCCAGTAGCTCAACCCTGCTGACCAAGTCTTTAGCACAGGGATGTGACTGAGAGACAATCAAAATCCAACTTTAGTGGGGCTTGTTAAGAAGACAAGCTGAGTAAAATTCCCCTCTCTCCCTCTCTGTCTCTCTCTGTCTCTCTTTCCTTCTCTTTCCTTCTCTTTCTCTCTCTGTCTCTCTCTCTCTCTCTCTGTCATGTATGTGCATGTGGGGTGTGTGTGGGGGGGTGTGGTGTGTGTGAACTGGAGATTTCCTTTGTCCACCTTCTAAAACCCATTTTCCTTTTTTTCCCTCTTACTCTGTAGTCTAGCAAACCATGAATCCTGTGTCACCCAGTGAATCCTGATCCTCAAGGTTTCTGCTCCAAACGCTGGCAGAAGGAAAAGAATAATCATGGTATGTATACTCATAGTCTTAGTTAGGGTTCTATTGCTGTGAAAAGACCATGACCATAGAAACTTACTTTCTCTTTCTTTCTTTCTTTCTTTCTTTCATTTGTTTGGTTTTGGTTTTTGGCTTTGTTGAGACAGGGTTTCTCTGTGTAACAGTCTTGGCTGTCCTGGAACTCGCTTTGTAGACTAGTCTCGCCTTGAACTCAGAGAGATCTGTCTGCCTCTGCCTCCCCAGTGCTGGGATTAAAAGTGTGTGCCACCCTGCCTGGCTTCACAGCAACTCTTTTGAAGGAAAACATTTAACTAGGGCTGGCTTACAGGTTCAGAGGTTTAGTCCATTATTGTCATGGCAGGAAGCATGTAGGTACACAGGCAGCCATGGTGCTGAAGAAGGACCCGAGAGTTCCACAAGTCCCACATCTGTATCCGTAGGCAGCAGGAAGATTGAGAGACACTGGGCCTGGCTTGAGAATTTGAAACCTCAAAGCCTGCCCCGACAGTGACACACTTCCTCCAACAAGGCCACACCTCCTGATAGTACCACCCCTAATGACCAAGCATTCAAGTCTATGAGCCTGTGGGGGCCATTCCTATTCAAACCACCACATTCACTCAATTCCCAGAAGGTAGCTTAACTGTGTACCTCCAGTGTAGATCACTATTCTTCTCAAAGCATCCCTGGTCAACTGACTATAAACCAGAGGCCCCCACCATGCCCTCCTCAGGTTCCATAATGACCCATAGGACTTCACCCCCAGATCACTGACCTCCCTTCTCAGGGAAAGTCAGTGATGTCACTGAAAATTCCAACCCTCTGATCACTTTGTCTTTCTCACAAAAAGAACCACCCTGAGCTAGCTAGGAACCCCACCCCAAGTAACCTCATTAGCATAAATTTGGGTCTGATAAAATTAACAAAAGACATCTACCAATCCAGAAATTTCAAGGGTTTTAGAAGCTCTGTGCCAAGGATTGGAATCTAGAACAAAAATGAAAAATATTTCTCATTATGTCACATATAAAATAAGTGTTAATTATTATGTTATTACTTCATTATTGTTAAATGAATTAATGAACAGAACTTCTGGGAGACAGGAATAAATGTCACTCAGAATCCAGAACAAGAACTAAGAGACAGGCTGTCTAGGGGAGGACCACTCCTAAACAAGTTCCAACCTCTTTTCAGGTTTGTGTTACTTCTCCCAGTCCAGTTCCCTTGAGAGAGCTTAGCCTTACTTAGGTCACAGTCCCTGCTTTGGACAGGTCTCTGCCTTAACTCACAGCTCTACTACTGAGTGAATGGTGGGGGGGGGGGGGCACCAGCCAGGGCAAGAGTAAGGACTTGTTTCCAGAAAGGGAAGGAATGTTCAACAACACTCATGAAGACATCACTATTGCCAATTCCAACTGGCTCTTAAGGAGCCTGGGTGTTAGCATTCAGACCCACCCCTTGGGGACCTGACCAATAAGCAGGCAATACCTTCACACACACACACACACACACACACACACACACACACACAGGATCCTGGCAAGTCATCCTAAGTACTCAGTAGCCTGTTTTTGCTAGCGTGCAGCACACAGGAAGTCCCTTCATAAAAGGCTGGGTCCCACCCGCCTTCTCTCTCTTCTTCTCTCCTCACCCCCCCCTTCTTGCTCTCTCTCCCTTCCTCCCTCTCTCTTCCCACCAGTCAGCTCTGCGCACTCCCTTCCCCTCTCCCCTCTCCTTTCTCTCTCCTCCCCCCACTAATAAAACTCTCCCTGTGAGTGCTGCCTGCAGGACATGTCTCTGTCTCTTACCCATCATGGGTCACCTTGGCTCTAACACACCAAGATCTCTCTCCCACCGTTTTTAAAATACAACCCAGCCGGGCGGTGGTGGCGCACGCCTTTAATCCCAGCACTCGGGAGGCAGAGCCAGGCGGATCTCTGTGAGTTCGAGGCCAGCCTGGGCTACCAAGTGAGTTCCAGGAAAGGCGCAAAGCTACACAGAGAAACCCTGTCTCGAAAAACAAAAATAAAATAAAATAAAATAAAATACAACCCTGGGTCCTTTAACAAGGAAGTTAGTAATTTCTGTTAGTTGACCCTAGTTGAGTTGAGCGCCTCTTTTTCATTTGCTAACAGGTCTCTCAGTGACCTCTTGGACACTTTCCCATCTTCCCCTTCAGTTATTAGAACTTATTTTCAATGTTTAAGACTTGGTCTCATTCGTGTGAGTGGCCTTGATCTCAAGCACATGCCGGTTTGAACTGAATAGAAAGAATATTCAGGTGTAGTCCACTGGCGGTGAACGCTGATGGTGAATTCTGAGACAGCTAAGCACCCATGGTCAGCCTCCTGTTAACTCAAGGTGGCACAGAAGAAGAAAGGGCAGGAAACAGCAAGCTCTACGGCAGCAGCCAGGTCTAAAAAGCCAAACACTAGGAGGAAACAGGGTGATTAGAAGGGGGACAGAAGTGAGACAGGATGCAGAGGGCTTCCGGAAGGGGTTATGGCCAAGCTCAGCGAGCAGGGGCTGTGGGCGTTCAAAGGTGGAGGCACTCCAGGTAGAGTTGGTCAGAAGAAAGCTGCTCTACAGAGATTTGGACAGCTCTTCACATGGCTCCAGGGAAAGGAGCAAGCCCTCATACCTGCTGGAGAGGATGCGGGATGGTCTTTGGGTATTTATGATGTCTGTATGCTCCATTAAAACTTGGGAGAGATAGTTCAAGAAGTGCGGTCTGTGTGGAGGAAGTTTTAGGACAGTGTTTCCAGTGACCACACAAAGTTCAAGGAAAGATGTGGAGAGTCTAGAAGCTTTGGCTTCTCCAGCCCTCCGTCAATCATCTTCCTTGGCTTTTAGGAGAAGCTCAGTTCAACACATGATAAACCTTGGATTTGTGTGACTCAGGGACTACTCCAAGAGCAGAGAGAACTATTTCTTCTCTTTTAAAAAAAAAAGTCTCCATTTATCTGAAAGTCAAGAAAGGAATTTGCCTAACGTGTCCCATGGTTGAGTGCTTAAAAATATTTTCCAATCTGACTAGCTAACATCACAGTCATGAGGACTGGTAATCTCTCATAGTTTGTATAATAAGAACTGTGAGAATGTGTTCTTCCGAAGCTGGCTACGGTGACAGTGGCTACTCTTGCAGTATTCAGTAGGCTTTGGCAGGAAGATCAGGAATTCTAGGCTAGCCTGGGCTTCACAGTGAGACTCCCATCTCCAAAGATAAAAATAAAAACAAGCAAATACAATGAAGTAAGAACCCTAGCATGAAACGACAGACTAGATAAATACCAGTTAAATTGAAACTTTAGACAGATCTAAATCATTAATGCCCAGAGAAAGCCTGGGATGTCAGCCTAAAAATTTAATAGCCTAACAATTTGACATCACATTTCTTACTTCTTATTGTCCTGTTGTGTCACAAGCCTGTGAGCTGCACTTGTACCACTATGAACCCAAAGGCAGTGCCAAAAACCATCCAGATTATGAGCTTGACAACTCCCTAGTCTGTTCCACCTAAACCTCAAAGAGCCACCATTTGGGGTCGATGGAAGATGGAGGAGAGGTCCCAACCATAGGGTTTAAGAATCCGATGGTGTGGAAAGATTGTTCTGAGAATGAGACCATATGTACTGCTAAGGCTCCAGTGATTTGGGCATGTTTCTAATTGTTCTGATGTTAGAAGGCTCTGAAATGGATTTTTCTGCACCGCCCCCAGCTACCACTACCGCAGATGCCCTTGGAGCAATGTTTATTTCAAAACCAAATCGAATCCATATGCCTGTCTTACTTAGACCTGGGTCAAAACTATTTAGCTTTAATTTATAAGGAAAAGAAAACTTTTTTCATGGAGAAGGAAAAAGGACTTTCTAAAACTTTAGTAAACGTATTTAAACAACAAATATTCAGGACTGAGGAATCACCATTTAAAATGGGGAGAAACTGGGAAAAGGAACAAGGAAAACAAAAGCAATCAGGAAAAAGTTTTCCAAGGATGCTTAACGCCTCCTTCCATTAACTGAACATTCCCAACTGCTTTGAACTCTTAATTGACTGCTCTGGTGTAACCATCTTTCATTGGCATAAGAAAAGGGCACAGTTTAGCCAAGTGTAAATTACTTTTGATACCTCATCATGATTGTTGGATTGCTTTGAGATATTTTTGAAATAAACTTTTTCATGCTAGGGACCAGCTTTTGATCACTAATCAGTTATAATGCTGTATGTGTTTATCTCTTGAAGACGAGCCAAATGCATTCAAGAAATGGGACAGCTGTGCTGTCTGTAGGTCCAACTTGAGACTGCTTTTCCAAGGCTCCCTTCTGTCCTCAGGGCAATGAGTTACTCAAGACAGTTTTCAAACAGAAATGTAATCACAGGGTAGTTTAGGAAGTCCTCGCTAGAGAGGTAAATGAGAGGGGGGGGGGGACAGGGGGACACGACGACATTCAGAGGGTGTTGAATCACTCAAGGTGAAAACTGATGAGACTCTGAACTAAGGAAGAGGCAGCAAAGACGGAGGAAAATGGGAGAGACAGCCATCCAAGGTGTAGAATGGGTAGACCTTGCTGATGAATTAGAAGGTGAGGTTGCAGAGGAGAAATCTGAGAGAAAGGCAACAATTTTTTATGTGGGAACTCAAGGGATGGGAATATTCTGCAGGATAGACATATATCTTATATAAAAGATAGGTTGGAGACAAAATTCAGGGTAGACAATTGGGTTTAAGGAAGAGAAATGTTTCATGGATGTTATAGATCGCAGATTTACATTGTTTTCCAGATGACCTTGGTACGCAATATATACCAAGAGGAGAGACAAGGTCACTAAGACAGCCAGACATGCTGTGCTGGCTATTGTGGCTTGGACTATTTCTTTACTAACATTTGACATATTAATAGTTTTGTTTGCTTATGTATTTACTTATTTGTTTGTCAAATAAAGGGAAAAAAGAAAAAAGAAAGTTCCTGCTAAGTGCCTACTGAGCAGGGTTTTGGTGACCTCTCAGCACTTTCTCAAAGACTCGCTTTGCATCGCTTCTCTTACCTCAATGTCACTACCAAACTGGAAATCCTGTATTAGAGAAATGTTACTAAAAAACTAAAGGGGGGAAATACATGGCAAATAATTCTACATTTAGTTACCATGTTCGCCAGATAATTAAATCATGTCTGATTACACAAGCCAAGTCTAAGCCAACACTGTTGAGTGGTAAGTGAATGGTTGAGGAAGAAGAAAAACTATGACCCATGTTGGGGCACAACTTGAAATGTTAAAGGAACAGGACATGACAGAGCATTTTGGTAGTGCTCTATCACATGGTGATGGGAAGTCAACATAAAGGAGACCATATGTATACAACACTTTTCTGACCATGAGATAGACTGTTTTCTTAATTGTAGGATAGTAGTGGGTATATTAAGAGTTGAAGGACAAGTCAAGACATTTTTAAAGGATGAAGCTTATGGGACCAATGGCCTCTCTTATGGAAGTGCAGGGTCTGTTAGACTGATGAGGTACTGCCGAGTAATTCAGAGCAACTTGGAATAGAGTAGAATATGACATCATGATATCCACATAGGGACACAGGAGCTGGGGCTGCTTGATTGCCAAGTAACACAGGCTGAACTTGCTGACTTCTGCAATAGGCACATGAAGGACACTATGAGAACATGGATGCCTTTTGCTTGGTACCAAATCCCTGCTGTCTGAAGAGGTCGGCATGCAATTCTTGCCTTTAAGGCAACACTTAAGTCAGTCCAGTGTTCAAACATCTCCAAAGAGTGATTTTAGCTACATTCCTTTGTTAGCTCAGCGTAACATTTATTCTTCTCCTCTTAAGGAGATTGTGGGGGACCATCCCTCACCCCCACATTCCACCAGAGTACTCTTGAGTAGGAGCAGCAGGAAATATTAGTTAAAAGGATAGAGGGAAGAGAAACAGATAGAAAATACAGGATAGCCTTGAGAGGGCCTGGATCCTAATCCA